TGATGCACTTTTTGTACAATGATCTTTCAATGGCCAGGTCTATGAATACTTTTGTTCTCTTAAAGGTAGCCAAACCTGGGTAGTTCTGGCCCTTTTTTTAGTAATGATCTGACCACTGTAGGGAAAATGGACTAATTTTGCAGATGGCAACTTGAAAAGATCTGTGCAATGTGTGTCCCTATACCAGCATTGGTCAGCCAAGATTTCTCCAGAGGTTGGTAGGGGTTCCTCTCAGATAAGTAACCTCTGCACAAATGATTCTTCTAGCTATCTATGAGGAGGGAATTTTTCTCAGTGACCACAAATGTAAAAAGCGTTGTCCCACAGATCATCATGTGACCATCATGCTAATGTACCATTAGTTATACATATAGCAAATATTAGCAGGGGTTCCCTGAAAGTGGAAAGTTATTTCAAGGGTTCTTCAATGTTAAAAAGGTTGAGAAAAGCTGCTCTATACAAAAGTAATTTCGCCATCCACACAACTGAGGTGGATGGAGGAATCCTCCCCACAGTGCCATTGTATTCTGAAAGCAGGATTCTTCTGCTGTCAGAATACTCCGATCAGCAGGTACAGTCCATTGGCTGCAGTCACTGATCGAGAAAAATTTTCTAACAAGCCCAATCCACCTATGGCCAGCTTCGCTCATCAAAGGTTTGTATTGAAGTAGCTCACGAAAAATGCTATAAGCTATTGTATGTTGAGTATTTCCCTAAACATTTCAGTTTGCTTCCTATCTCAGTCACATCTGTGTCATTCAAAGTGTGACAGCGCTGAAAGCTGAAAATTGGCCTGGGCAGGAAGGGGGTATAAGTGCCCTGTAGGCAAGGGCTTAATAGTAGTCTTCTATTCTATATTCCCTATATAAAACAGTGATATCTGTACACTGAGTGGCATCCAGTGTACAGATACCAGTGTTATATATAAGGAATAGCACTCAGTGTACAGATATCTGTGATATATACAGTGGCTTGAAAAAGTCTTTCTCATGACTGAAATGTCCCCCATGTGGTCATGTCACAATGTATTCCCCCCCTGAAATGTTCCCCATGTTGTCATATTACAATGTATTCCCCCCCTGAAATGTTCCCCATGTTGTCATATTACAATGTATTCGCCCCCAAAATGTCCCCCATGTTGTCATGTTACAATGTATTCCCCCCCTGAAATGTCCCCCATGTTGTCATGTTACAATGTATTCCCCCCCTGAAATGTCCCCCATGTTGTCATGTTACAATGTATTCCCCCCTGAAATGTCCCCCATGTTGTCATGTTACAATGTATTCCCCCCCCTGAAATGTCCCCATGTTGTCATGTTACAATGTATTCCCCCCTGAAATGTCCCCCATGTTGTCATGTTACAATGTATTCCCCCCCTGAAATGTCCCCCATGTTGTCATGTTACAATGTATTCCCCCCCTGAAATGTCCCCCATGTTGTCATGTTACAATGTATTCCCCCCTGAAATGTCCCCCATGTTGTCATGTTACAATGTATTCCCCCCCCTAAAATGTCCCCATGTTGTCATGTTACAATGTATTTATTGGGATTGGATGTGATAGACCAATACAAAGTGGCACATAATTGTAAAGTGGAAAAATGAGAAATGGTTCCAACATTTGTGACCAATAAATCTGTGAAAAGTGTGGCGGCATTTGGATTCGGCCTCCTGGAGTCAGTATTTTGTAGGACCCCCTTTGGCTGCAATTTCATCTACAAGTCTTTTTGGGGATGTCTCTCCCAGCTTTGCACATCTACAGAGGGACATTTCTGCCCATTCTTCTTTGTATAATCACTCAAGCTATGTTATTGGATGGAGAGTGTCTGGGAACAGCAATTTTTAGGTCTGGCCACAGATTCTCCATTGGATTTTGGTCTGGACTGTGACTGGGCCATTCTAACACATGAATATGCTTTGTTTAGAAAGTTTGGAGACCCCAAATTTAGATCAAAGGGCCAGTTTACTGTCCTTCAGGTTTTTGGGGTCCGGACTGTGGTCTTTGGGATCAGAAATTGTCCTGACATCAATGGGAGTAAACCATGCATCTTTATTATTAGGAGGAGGAATAGCATCCCACCTTTGGTGTCAATGGGAGGAATAGTGCCCCATCGTTGGTATCAGTGGGATGAATAGTGCCTTATCATTCATGTCAGTGAAAGGAATAATGTCCTATCATTGGTGTGAGTGGGAAGAATAGTGCCACATCATTGGTGTCAGTGGGAGGAATAGTGCCCTATCATTGGTGTCAGTGGGAGGAATAGTGCCCTATCATTGGTGTCAGTGGGAAGAATTGTGCCCTATCATTGGTGTCAGTGGGAGGAATAGTGCCCTATCATTGGTGTCAGTAGAAGGAGTAGGAAAAATTCATTAAAACCTTCATTTTAAAATGTACCATTGTTGCGCTCTCTTTAATTTTATTTTGTGTAATAAACATTTATTTTGAACATACTGTAGAGAAATTCTGTGACAAACGCATGTATTGCGGGCAGTGTAATATGTAGGTGGGGCTGTTTGTGGGTGCGGATTGAGTGGGCAGGGACAAAGGGGGCCCCATGATCTCCTATTGCCTGGGGGCCCCATGAGTTGTCAGTCCGCCCCTGGTCGCATCTGTGATGTGCAATCTGAATTTGCCATATGTAATGCAAGAAAACAGTACTGAACAGCAAAGTCAAACAATGTAGCAGTTGTTGCTAATTTTTGTGGCAAAATGTAAATACTTTGTGGCATTAATCTTGGCATGGATACATTTGAATTTCTTCTTTTCACCAGAAAATGCACACAAGGACATTATTATGGCATGTATGACTTTATAAAAGCTAACATTTAAAGTACACCAAGAACAGAGTCCCAAGATTGTGTTCTTTTTTGTGCCTCTTGCCAATTGTACTGCTGCATAACAATAATAATAATTTGTCACCAAAAAAGTGAAAATAAATTTTTCCACCATCCATTAGGCTAGGTTCAGATGTAAGTGGGTGAAAATCATATGCTTCCCAGAACCTGCAGAAAAAATTAGCTGCTGTTAGCGGACGTGCAAGGGTGCCCTTAGTTCTTACACACATTGGAAACCACAGTGTATTTTCCTGTACTGAGCAATGTATAGCAATACGCAGCTTCCCTGCAGCTGAGGTTTTACAAAAGGTTCAGAGAACTTTTCCTACATTTCCCACAGGTTCATTTGAATGGGCTGTTGTGTCCATGCAAACGTGGCCACAGGGAAACTGAAATAATGTGAACCTAGCATTAATATTTTGGGGCAATAAAATGTAAATGTAAGTGTTAGGTTAGGATCAGGTTTAATTTAAGCTAGGCTAAAAGCTACCAAAGTTTAATGGTTCATTTTTAAGCATAAGTTAATGTGCTATTTTTTAAATAACACACGTCATACTTACCTGCTCTGTGCAATGGTTTTCCACAGAGCAGCCCCATTCCTCTCCTTCTTGGGTCCCCCACTGGTGTTCCTGGCTCCTCCCCCTTAACCAGTGCACTCAATAGCAAGCTTCTTGCTATGGGGGCACTGATCAGTGCTCTCTCCATAACCGCACTCTATCCTTCCATAAGGCACGTGTCCTTTTATCATGCAGCAGTAAATGACCGCTGCTCAGTTCTCCTCTGAATGCCTGTTCATGAAGCCGTGTAGATCGCTTCTCCTAATGAGGAGAGAAGCGATCTACAAATGCTTTGAACGCTAGAAAATGGCTGCTGTTACTACAGTTTCATAACAGGACACCTTAGAGCCATGTCTTGGCTCCAACCCCCCACCCTCTCCTCATTGGCTCACTGGTTGTGATTGACAGCAGTGGAAGCCAATGAATCCCACCGCTGTATCTCAGCCAATGGAGAGAGAGAGACCTGGGACAGCCAAGGCTCCTATGCACATCGCTGGATTGAGAGGGGGCTCAGGTGATTATTGGGGGGGGGGGGGCTGTGGGGGTAGCAGAACACAGAAGATTTTTACTTCAAGAAACCTTCAACCTTTGGCTGTTACAACCATTTTAAGGGTTAAGTTAAAGTTCTAGGAGGAAGACCTGTACAAAGCAATGACAGGCTGACAGAAGACACAGACTTATGACACCATTTGCATGTATTTGCACATCCAGTTACCTGTGTTTAGAGCAGATGATTGGTTCTGGACACAATAAGGTTGATTTACTAAAACTTGAGAGTGCAAAATATGGTGCAGCTGTGCATAGAAACCAATCAGCTTCCAGGTTTTATTGTCAAAGCGTAATTGAACAAGCTGAAATTAGAAGCTGATTGGCTGCCATGTACAGCTGCACCAGAGTTTGCACTTTCCAGTTTAGTAAATCAACCCCAATGTGTTGAAATGTGAATTAACAGTGCCTGGTTTTATGGAAAGATCTCACAGTGTTCTCCTAGCTGAATCATTTGGAGGTCTTGGCTCCCGGGTGACCCACTCATGATCAAATGACCGCAGAGACTGCAGCTTCCAAATGTTATAGCCAAAGCCTAATTGAACAAGCTGAAGTTAGAACCTTTTTGGCTACCATGTGCAGCTGCACCAGATTTTGCACTCTTCAGATTTAGTAAATCACCATCCACTTGTATTTATGGCTATATAAATACTTTACAAGTGTTACAGGAATGTCTTGATATAAAATAATTATTCATGAATGGTTCCTCTCACATTGATCGTTTAGCAACTTTAATTTAATTTTAAAGTGTTATTAAACCCACAACAGTAAAATCAGTCTGTATATGCAGTAAAGCATGCTTGTTATACTCACTGTGGAACTTAAAAGGGTTAATCCTCTGCATTGTAAAGGATGTTTGATCCTGTCTTCTCTGATCCTCCCCTTCTGCTACTGTCCCCGACTCATCTCCTGATAGAACAGAGCCTTGGGGGAAGCTGCACATGCACAGTTTGGTGTGTATGGCTAGAGAGTTTTTTTCTTGAGAGGGTGCATGGGATCTGCACAGGGCAATCAGCGCTGTCCAGACAGAGGGTCAGGGGTCCTGCAGTCTCATAGGACAGTGAGGGGAAAATGAAAACTCCTCCTAAAAGCTTTAACCAGTGCTCTCCTGAATACTGATAGAAGTCACAAGACTGCTCTAACTGCTGATAAGAAAAAGGTATTTAGCAGTTTATATTTTCTAAAATAATTGCATTTCCATGTTGTGTGTACTGTGTGAGACCAGATATAGTGAATGCAGGGTCCTGGTTTTAGTAGCACTTTAACTCTTATTTTGACATCTTTTGTTTATTTTTCGTTTGTTTTTTCAGAAGCATTTGAGCCTTCCCGCAAAATAATGAGTTCAAATTACACTTACACATCCCAGCCATTCACTGTTGGAATTATTTATTAAAACTGGATGGGAATGCAGGCTGCACCTTTTCTCCCTCTCCCGAATGCCCAATATATAACTATCTAAATAAATACACACACACAATCTTTAATGGCAAAATTTTAGGCCGCGGCACTTTATTGGTTTCAATAAATAAATAATAACAAATACTATAAATAATTCATTAATAATCAAGTTTATACTTCTCTTATCAAATAACAATCAAATAGCTCAGTCGTTAAGGACTCAAGCTCAAACTGAATAAATATAACAACAGTCCCCCCTTTAAATGTAAAGGGTGACAATACCACATAACGTGCCTTGCGACAAAAAGAGGAGGGGGGGAGGGAGCTCGTTGCATGGACACTGATCAGCTGGCAATCTCCTGCCGATGGAGATCCTTTATATAATGAGCCCCACTTTTTAGAACTTTCCACTAGTCATGTGACGTTCTGGAATTTTCTCCCAGGTCACATGCTTCTTGTTTTCCCGCCCTAACTCTCTTTAAAATTTAAAGGCACAGTAACTTTTTATATATATGTATATACATATCTCATTTTTTTTTTTTTAATTAAAAGAGGGAGGGGTGGCTACCTACCCATGTTATCTGGCCCAAATGATTGATCCCTCTTAATGCATGGTGCAAAAATCTGGTGCAGCTCTGCGTAGAAACTAATCAGCTTCCAGGTTTTATTGTCAAATCTAATGGAACAAGCTGATGATTGGCTACCATGCACAGCTGCACTAGATTCGGAGTGCACCAGTTTTAGTAAATCTCTCCCCAGGATCCAAATCCCCGGTCACACTGGATGCAAATCAGCATACGATTTGCATGCCATGAAACTTGCAATTCGCATGCCAAGTCACACCTTATTGTCTGCAATTAGCGCGGTCATGTCGGTGCGGTTCCGACTTGGTCGGAGCTGCACTGGTTTCTAAAGTAGTACATGCACTACTTTTGGTGTGATTTGCATAGACATCTGTGTCAGATGTCTTGCAAATTGCACCTGAAATCGCATTTCATCAGACTTTGAAATCGTGCGATTTCACTGTAAGTCGCATGATTTCATAGTCGAGTTTAGTGGGTTTGTGTATGACCGGGGTGTAAGTGTTCTACTTATAAAGCAAAGAATGTGACTTTGATAATTCTTTGGTTGCGAACCATCCAGGTGCATGTGTTTTCAATGGGATTAAATGATTCTCCACCAGGAAATGTTTGTGAACATAACATTCTCTGTTTTATAAATATTAATGCTGGTAAACATTTCATTATACCATATTGTACCAATATACTGTAATGGGTACACTTCACAGGACTCATGAAATCAATTAAAACTTTTAATAATTGGTGTAAATGGTTTCAATGGTTTGATTTACTAGAGAAGTAGAGAATATTTACTTTTTCAGAAGTTTAGTGAATATGGTGAATGTATGAATGTTACTGGGTGTTCAAACTGAACACAGCTTCACCTGGTTCACTTAAAGGTGTCCATTTATGACACACAGAATAGCTGACATTCAGAGGATCGCAGCTATTCTCTGGTCATTCACAGTTTATGACACTCAGGAGATCATGTCAGCCCCTTCTCTGAAGATCTGTGTTCTCCCTCCAGATTCTCCAGCCCAGAGAGCTGGAGAATCGGAGGGACCGAAAACTAAACAGAGATAATTTACCTCTGCTTAGTAAACTGATTTTTTACTGTAATCTTGCGAGATTATAGTAAAATCAGCCGTTTTCCAGCGTTTGTAGACCGTTCTCCCTTCGTTTGGAGAACTGATCTATATATGCTTCTTAAAGGGCATTCACAGGAGAACTGAGCAGCGATCTATTACTGCTGGTTCATAAACGGACATACTATTTGAATATTCTACACTCCTGTAGTAAATCAACCCCACTGGTCATTTACTAAAGGTGTAAATAGACTGTTTACTCACCAAAGAGTATGTTCACTTAGATTAGTAAATAAGGTGAAGCTATGTCCACTTTAAATACTCAGTGATTTAAAGTCAGAAGAAAAAAAACAGGATACTTCCTAGCACATAATTGAATGATTAAAGTGAAACAGCTTTACTTTCTTTTCAAAGCACAGTGATCAGTCATTACTATTATCACTCCATAGATGTAAAACCAACCTAGCATGAGTAAAACACAGACTGTTTATGTAATACTTGCAATAGTGCTAGTTAATACTGAAATCATAGTTAATTGCATAGGAAATGATAATGCATATTTTATAAAATCATTGCATTATATTAATTAATTATAAAACAGATATGTAATGGTTTGCCAGATTGTGATTATACAATTCTGTCTCTATAGTTTTTTGTGACATTGTAATCATCATCTACAAAAGATACCTTGTACAAATGGTATTTTCTAGGTGAACAAATATTCAGTTCAAATCACTGATCTCTCCAGACTGCTATCATAGGTGTCCTTTTATGAACCAGCGGTAATAGATCGCTGCTCAGTTCTGCGGCATTCTCGGAGAACACAGTTCTCCTGTGAATGCAGTTTATGAAGCAGTTCTCCGAACGAAGGGAGAGCGGTCTCCAAACGCTGGAGAACGGTCTACAAACTCTGGAAAACGGCTGATTTTACTATAATCTCGCGACGATTACAGTAAAAGATCAGTTTACTAAACAGAGGTAAATTATCTTTGCTTAGTTTTCGGTCCCTCTGATTCTCCAGCTCTGGGCTGGAGAATCTGGAGGGAGAACACAGATCTCCAGAGAAGAGCTGACATGATCTCCTGAGTGTCATAAACTGTGAATGACCAGAGAATAGCTGAGATCAGTTGAATCGCAGCTATTTCTGTGTCATAAAAGGTTTCCATGGGCAATGAGTATGTTGGAGAGAACCAGGAGCTGAGGATGTTGGTTCACAATGTAATGGTAAAAGCAAACACCCACCTTCTAGTATGGTAAAGCCAATCTAATGCTGGTAAGCTGAAGAAGCACCCACCAGGTCACAAGTACCCACAAGCACACTATTCACTCCGTCATATGCCACAATTGCCCAGCTACCAGTTTGGAACTTTTCCATATTAATATGTGGCCCTTGGTATATCCTTTTCTCTGCCCTTTTACTAATGATGACCATCTGTTGCATGCTCTGTTACAAAGCACTGCTGCACAAAAATCTGGCAATAGTAACAATTTTATTAGCATATTGTGGCACTTGTGTCCCATCAGAGAGATCAAACTGCAATACACAATTTCACAGGTGATGTGTCAGCATTGGCTAGGAAATGCAACATCAGTATTACAAAATAGTGCACACCCTTTTTTCAGTTTTGGTCCTGTGGGGTTTCAAATTAATAACGAGTTTTGAAAATCTTTGTTCTTGTTTTTTCTTATTTTTTTATTTTATTTATCTATGCTGCTATTTTATTTATTTGATTCTAACAGTTAGAAATTGAAAATATTTTATTTTATTTTTCAAACATACTAATTGTTTTTTTACTGCTACTAACACACACTGCTACTACTTTTTACTACTACTTACGTTTACTACTAGTACAATTCTTGTGTTTTTAGCAAATGATTCAGGGACCTGTAAAAAGGTATATATAATTTGCAAAAGTTAAAAGTCTCAAGTGTATTATTTCAGTGGCAATTGATGACCTGGTTCTATATGGAGAGGTTCTGCAACAGCCCATGAGGTAACATGTCACAAAATGAATGTATAGGTCTTTTTTTTTCCCCTGGTGTGCTGGTATGCAGAACTGCTACAATCTCATACCCGACCCCCTTGATTAATGTGAATTTCTGTCACCTTTCCATGACATAATAAAAGGTCATGGTTAATGCCATGGCAGCAGAGTCCCTTATCAGGTGCATTAGGACCACATTCATTTCCCTCAATGACATACCTGTCGTTCAGAGAGTCCCAGATTGACCGCCAGCTCTGACTTCCTCCTGATGGTGATGTACCTGCTGTAGTGGAACTCCTTCTCCAGCTCCAGCCGCTGGTGGTCCGTGTAGACCACCCGATACTTGTCCTTTGTTCGGGTTTTCCCTGCTGTACAAGAGTAGAACATTAATTGACCCTGTCCCAGACTTATCCATGGGCCACAACCCCTGCCAAGATCATTGGACCACCACCAAGGCATATTGATGACCTCTGTCTTAGTCCTGCAATGCTCTAATAAATATCCCACTGTTACCAAAATAGCATATTCCATTCTAACCTACCTCCAATAATAAACCCATAAACAGGCTATAGGAAATTCAAAAATCCCTCATTGAGTATCTAAAACTATAACAGACTTGACTGAAACATACTATTGTAAATATTTATTATAAAAGAAATAACTCATTCTAAATGGAAAAAAAATAACAAAAAGTTCAAAACAAAATTTGTTTGTGTGTCTGAAAGGAACGCTGGCTACGAGAATAATATCGTAATCAAAAGGAAAATAATTCGTTATTAAGGGAATAATTATATTCTACAAAATCTGGGTGTATGAGACGAACAGGTAAATATGATGGCAATTATTGAAAAGGGAAATAATTATTTAATAAGTAATATTTTAAAAAAAAATACAATCCCTGGAACACGATTGGGTATCTGAAATGAGCACAGGCTAGGTAAAAGAAAAAAAAAAAGGTATTATTATGGGAACTTAAATATTACAAATTTAAAAAAATGCTGAATATTGGAAGTTAAGTCAGACTTAAATAACTAACTCTTTAATTCTTTTTGTTTCGTATTAATTTATTTATTTTATATTTAAATGAACAAAACATTAAAAATAATAATAATCTTTTATACGGCATATTTTTGTGAGTCGCGCTGAAATTAAAATATGAGTTACAAAATTAAAAAAAAAAAACTATTGTCCATTTTACCGGTATATTATTATTTAC